AACTGGTGGTGAACAGAGTGGAACTTGGTCTATTTGAAAGATACACCAACACCTCCAAACTGGGTGCATGTATGGGGCAACATGGATTAATATTGTGTTTTATTTCTAATTAGACCTCAAGCAAGCTTGAATTTCTTTTAAACCTGGTGGAGAAATAGTTGAAACACAGAAGGAGAAACAGTGATCAGTTTCATCAGAGATGCAGCACAGCTTGGTGCAGGAATTTAATGAAGATTTGTTAGTCAACAACAATCTCCCAATCCACTTAACGTGCCCTCCATTTAATTTGCTCTGCTATTGTAGCAAATTTGAAGCCCCAAAGTCAGACTCAGCTTTCATGGTTCTTGTAGTCTCTGCAGTGTCAGCAGGAAGCACGAACTGAAGACTTAGAGCCTGGACTTGAGTAATATATATTTCTCTTAATGAAACCCAAAGCCAGGTGAAATTTTTTGGAGAGAGGAAACAGGATATGGAGTCCCTTTGGGGGATGGGGGATGTTCATAACACTCAGAAATTTGGCCCGCGTTTCTAGTCTCCTCCCTCTCTACTCCACAAAGGGCTTGTAGCATTTTTAGACAAAGTTGGATCCATCATATGTTGTGAGAGAACCTGCTGGGAAATTTGGTGACTCCTGCACTCCAGGGCAGAGGAAACGTGTGTTTGTGCTTTGTGTTTTTAAGAAAGTAGGAAGATGAAATTCAAAATAAACCCCAACAGATGGGAATCTCACAGAGACAGACACTGGGAAATGTTTAGACAAGCTTTGTTCCCGGTCCTTGAGCTCAGAATTAAGCCACTAAACTGTAGGGAGACTTCAGAAAGATGATGAAATGCATTTTGGCTTCAAATACAGTTCCTCCAGAATCCAGTGAGAGTTGTGCACATGAATCTGAAGGCAGAGTATAGCCAGCAGTATGGGGAATAGATGTAATGTGAGAAACTCTCATGCTATATTATTATAGTCTGAATTGTTTCCATCATTTTGGGTTAAGTAATTCCTCACTATCCATCTCTAAAGTGCAAACAGTACAGGCTTGATGTGCCCCAGGGAAAGGAAGCAAACCAGCCTTTGAATCTTTACCCAACCTTACTGCTCATATTTTGCTTTCAGTGAATAAGTGTTCAAATCCTTTAATACTTCATTCCCATAAAAATATATTTACCAGGGGTTTTTGTGGCAGCAGTGAGGCTGTGTTTATTATTTTAGGAACACCACATGACTGGCTTTAGAGAAAAGACAAGGCAGGAGCATGGGGTGCTGCAAATCTATCAGAGAACAGCATGTTTTCCACCTGTTGAGGCAGCAACCACAATAACAGATGCACATAATAATTACCCGTACCTCAAAGGCAGCACCAAGTCCTGCACCTTCTGCTCCCCACCTAGCAGACAGCTTGGTAACAGAATTACAAAAGAGGAACACTGAGAGAGTAGGTAGTGCTTTGTGCAGAATGAAAAAGCAGCTCTTATTAAAGAGAAACCGGAAGGTGGAAGATGAGAAGGAAAGATCTGAGGCACCATGATGCTAAAAGAAGAGTGGTGCTAAGGAACTCCAGGAGCCTGCCTTATTTTTAGAGTGGCAGTCAGGATTTTGCTAATACCTTTTCCAAAGCTGCTCTCATTTCTACTCTCAACACCAGAGACAATTTCTACTGATAAATAGGTGTCCCACATGACTACTGGAGCCCATTCCTTTCCAGAGATGGATGGTCCTGCAGTGGCAAGAGGGGCACACAGGGTAATATCGGCCTCAAGTGACACCATGAATGACCATGACCATGTGCCCTGTTCCTATTCCCACCACTGCTGCCTGGCACTGGAATTGTGCTGGAGCTATGCTACCCTTTTGTTTGCAAGTGCCCTGGAGCATCTTGTGTGAGAAGATCAGGGGACAGTACAGGGAGCAGGGATGCACGGCAGGTGAAACATCTTTGGTTTTTCCTGCTTAAGTGCTGAGGCTTGTAAGGCTCTCTTTCTCCCCTTCCTTTAACTACCAAAAGGAAAGTGGTGACATTTGGCTGGGTGAGGACTTGACCTCTGGAGTGATTTGTACCATGGTAGTTCCTTGTTGCACGAAGGAACAGATACTTCCTGGCAGGGATTTATTGGGGAAATGATCTCAGGCCCCATTTAATCTTGACAGAAGAAGATGATGAGAAGACTATGTGCTGAGTTGGAGTTTTCCTTTGAATTCCTATGGTGTTGAAGGCAGCACTATAAATAGACACAGTATCCTTTTTACCCTGGTACAATTTTGTCTCCAGCTCCCCATACAGACAGCAAGTCTGCTGGTAGGTATTTAGAAGGAATTAATTTAACCCAGTCTTCTCTTTCTGTGCTCTTTTACTCCAAGCATCACAATGGCTTCCATAGCCATACAAACATATTTCCTCAATAAAAATATTCTGAGGAAGACTGCTGATATTAAAAATCCCATTTCTGTCTGAAAATTCTATTTTAGTTATAAATAATCCATAAATGCCCCAAACTATAAATAGTTGGTATTAAAAAAATCTCACTCCCCTCTCAAACTTCTTACTCTTTCATTTTGTTTCTCCCAGGTTTTGTTTTTGAACTGCACAGCATTTTATTCATAGTCTGTTTCACATTTTCTCCAGTGTCTGGAGACAATGTGGACAGTCTCCCCCTTCCCAGGATCAACTTGTGAACATCAGCTGAGAAGAAGGAAACCCAGATACAGTGTTTCATGGCTATTATCTTAAAGACAGATCTGTAAGCAATTTGAATACAAGTTAGATTGGTATTTTAAAAAACAACCCATTGAATTTAAGCATCGTTTTTAGCGAGAGATCCTCAGCCTGTGATCCTGCTGGAAAGCAAACTAAAAATTTCACAAATGTTAGAGTTCCTGAGTACAAGGGCAGAGACGCTGATCTGGCCTGGCTTTGCTGTGATCTCGCTGCTGGTGGAGCTGGCGGTGGTTGTGTTCACGCTGCTCGGTGCAGGTACTGAGTTCACGGGGGGTTGGTTTGTAAACAAGCGTAAAGGTACTTGCCTGGTAGCCGAATCTCCCGCGCTGCGGTGTCTTGGATTACCTTTGTTTGAGTAATACTAGTCCAGTTTCCTCCTAACGTACCACTTGCACAACAAATTTCTAGCCTCTCCGGGTGTTCAGTTTATTGAAGGCCTATTTTTAATTCTGTTAATTATAACCCGTAGTCCCCTACCCTCTTTGGACCTGCAGGCACCAGCCGGAGCGCGGCAGCTGGCAGGCGGCGGGGGCAGAGTTTTGGAGGGGGCCGGTGGCCGGGCGGTGCCAGCGGCTGTGACCCGGCCGGGCGGTACCGGGACCGGGGGCTGCGCTCTGCCCCGACACAGGGCTTTGCCATGGGCGCTCCTTGCGGGGCAGCTGCGGTTCAGCCCCGCTGTGAGCAATGGGGGGTGTCTGGGCTTGGCCCCGGTCCGTGGTGGGGCAGCTGTGTCCGTCCCCGCGGGCGGGCTGTGCCCCAGCCCGCCGGGCCGCGCGGGGCGAGACGGGGCGGGCGCGCCCCGAGCGCAGCCCCCGCACCGGCTGCCCCGCGCCCCTCGGGGCTTGACCCGAATTCGGAACAGGACGGCGGCGCGGGGCTGAGGCCCAGGGCCGGGTGGGCAGCACCCGCCGCTCGACCCCGCTGGGCCCCTCTTGAGCCGGTGTGGGTGCGGGTCTGGGAGCGGATCCCGGGTGTGGATCCCGGTGCGGGTCCGGCAGCGGATCCCGGGTGTGGATCCCGGTGCGGGTCCGGCAGCGGATCCCGGGTGTGGATCCCGGTGCGGGTCCGACGGAGGGCGCCGCCCGCGCCGGGCCGACGGCGCCACCTGGCGGCGCCGCGCGGTGCTGCGGGCCGAGGGCCCGGGATGGGATGCGGGATATGCGCCTTTGGGAGAAAACCCGCGCGAAACATCGCGGCCTGAGAAGTTACATTCTCTGTGTTTATCATCCGAGTAAGCTGCGGGTTTCCAGTTGTACCCACTGGTATTTTAAAAACGCGGTATCCTGCGAAATCCGTTTATTGTGCCGGTGCTCTCGTACCCCCAGCGAGAGCATCCTCAGCTCTGCCCTGTGCTCTACAGCCGAAAATGGCTGGCTGGCTGGCCTCGTTCCTGCTGTCTATACAGGGAAGCATAAGACAATGTGGTTCTTGTGCTTGAGGCTGGGGGCATCTCTACAGCCACTTGTTTTGTAAGTTTAAATCACTTCGTTAGATTTAATTGGTAATGGAAACATGCCTGATTTGATTTGGGTCTGAAACATACTTTTAATTTGGCTCTTCCTGCTTGCTGTGGTTTTGTTGACTTTGCAGAGCAGCCCCAGAGCTCATGAGCAGGTTTCCTCACACAGGGAACTAAAGCAAAGAAGTGCCCCAGCACTGCTCTGCTGCTGCTCAGGGATGTCCAACCCACAGGGTTAGTCCAAAGCAAAACCCCCTGGGATGCCCTTGCTGCGAGGATCAGGTCCTCAGTGCCAAATGTTCTGCTTTGTGCTCTGACTCGTATAGTCTGTCCCACAGAGTAGATGTAGATATTGCCGAAGAGTGTTATAAAAGGTGCTGACTTGTCTCTTCTGAAGGCAGAAATCAACCTTGCAGACAACACTGGAAATGTCAAGGAATGTTTTCCCTTGTTGCTGTGCTAGTTTTGAGTAGCCAGCTCATATGGTGTGGAGTATTCATGCCTCTGCATTCTGAGGTTTGGTACTAGGAATATAAACTGCCATCCCCGAGCTGGCTTTGTGCTGCAAATGCTTGTCCTCCGGGAACCAAAAGCCAGATGTGCTTCACATAGTTTCCAGGCAGCACTGATCCATCAGATGACAGTAGCTATTGAGTGCTCTTATGGTGGCCCAGAGACACAAAGATGAAAGCCTGATGCCTGTCAACACCTCCCTTGCCATTCCTGTGTGTCTTCAGCTTTCACTTGAGTCCACCTCACAAAAGGAAATGCCACAGAGTATGATGTTGCAATGTTAATAACCTTTTATTTTTGAGCAAGAAAATCCCAAGTTTTGTAATTTTCAACTGTCAGACAAATCTGGGATATATTGAACTTTGCACCCACTCTCACTGCCCATACAGCTGGTTGGACCCTCAGCTGGAAACCCACCTTCTTCTTCAGAAGCATTTTCTGCAGCATTCCTGGATGATTTTTGCTATGGAAGATGAAAAATATTTGAATATCCTCTAAAAGAAACGTATTTTTGTGGAGAAAAAAACTCTAATGAATAGCCAAAGGGAAAACACTATAGAGAGACCTGGAATAATTCCTTAGAGTGGCTTGTGTTGTTTCACAGCTGTGTTGCCTTTGAAAAACCTCTTACCCCAACTCAGGAGCTCCACCTATTGTAAAATCAAGAACTAACCAGTGCCAGATTCAAGTCTCAAAATACAAACCCTTTGAGATACGGGGAGCAAAGGGGTGGGGGCTGGTTCATAAGAAAACTTCTAAGCATTACTGTAGCATAAATAATATGGCATCCTTCACCTCAAATAGCCTAACACTTCATAAAGTGATATGAGCTTCACTAGTTGCTAAAAACACAGCTATTTCTGAAGTGGAACCTGATATCTTTCTTTCTTTTTTTTTTTTCTTTTTAACCAGTAGAGAGCAATGTTTTAAGGTGGAGAGTGAAGGATAGAGTATGCAATCAATCATAGGTATAAACCTAGGAGGGCTTTGCAAAATGGAAAGATCAGGCAAAATCTACTTTTATTAATAACATGCGTTATGGTGTCTCATAATCTTGTGTCCTTAGTTTATAAATGTGGTTCATCTATAAGAGAGACAGGCAACTCAAGTGAGATTTTGTCCTGTCTCTTTCAGCAATACTCTCTTACAGCTCTTTAGGAGCAGATGCTCTGGTTCCTTTCTTCTCTTCGTTCAGTTTAATGTCCAAGTCCCGGAGCTGGCTGAGGAACCCTGAATTTGGGCAGATGTCTCTGTGAGCACCCACCGTCTTCAGAGCATCCACGAGTGTCATGTTTTCATGGATCATTAAAAAGGCGAGCACTAAAGTCGCTGAGCGGCTCACTCCCATGGCACAATGAACAAACACCTTACCTGCAGAAAAAAAGAGGTACAGCAAAGTGAGTGTGCTTTAGCATTTCTAAAGTGAAAAAGACACAGGGGGGAGAAAAAATACTAGAAACAAGTTGGGAAAACAATGGGGACAATTAGTGAATCCTCATGTTTTCACACCTCTCAGGCAAGGTGGTGTTTCATACTGATCTCCTGGATCTAATTTAGGCCTCAGATTAAAATAGTTGAAATTTTCTGTGGCAGGAGAAGCTTTCTGTGACTAAACTTGTTAGTATAGTTTTCTGTGGAAAAAAATAAGCTTTGGCAGAAAAATTTGGCCCAGCCCTGACTGTGATCACTGGCAAGTTCCATAAACTCTGTGGGATAGTCTGCCTGTAAAAATGGAGTCGTAATTTACTGTATCTCAGCAGCCCAGTGTGAGCTATAACTGGGGATTTAATAAAGCACTCCAGTGAAAGCAGCAGATCCTACAGCCAGTCAGAGTCAGAGCAAACTCTGGAACAAATGGAAATTATGATAACTAGGCCATAATCCAAACTCTGCTGACAAAAATTCAGCAGGCTGTGGGTCAGGCTTGTAGTTTTTGACTTAGTTCATTAACTTCTGCTGCTTCTCTAGCTTAATAGACAGGCTGAATAAAGCTCCAATTCTGCGAAGTACTTAAGCATGTGAAGCATTCGAGCCAGCACTGAAGTGACACTGCTCCCAGCTGAGTGCATCGGGACCAGGAGCAGCACGCAGAGCAGGATTGTCCGTCTAGAGTCCATGCCAGTGTGCAAGGGGTGGGAGGTGTGTGTGGAAGCACACAGATCATGCCAATTCCTACAGCATGGGCCCAGGGGGGAGTATCTGCAGTACCATAACCTCTACACTCTGGTATTAGAGCTTGCCCTTCCTACTGCCATGCTGGGCTGCAGGCAGCAAGTCTTCCCCAGCTCCTGGGAACCTGGCCATGGCCACCTTCCCTGCAGCACATGGCATAGGCACCCTTCTCCATCCTCTCCTCAGTGGTTCTGCATATGCCACCTCGAACCTGATGCTGATTCTGAGCTCTGTTGGTGCCTGTTACTGCAAGGAGAAGTCATTTGGCTTGTGTTGAAACTTCCTCCCAAAGCTTATCTTTGCTTCCCTCTTACCTCCTGAAGAGTTTAAGGCCTGGCCTATGAAATTGGCAGCATCATAGAAGAAGATACTTAAATCGAAGGAAGGATCATCAAATGCTTCTACTCCATAGTACTCTATTTGCAGATCTTCATAATATTTGGCTCCTGTGTTGATGCTATATGGTCCATCTGCTGCATTAAGGATATGAGTAATGTTGAGGCTTTGAAGAGTAGTTTTGCTCCTGGCAGCCCACCTGTTGAAAGACATGAAGGGCACATTGGCAACGCTCCCAACATTCTGCTAAAATAGCATGGTTTAAAGTTAGTGCCTGCTCCTACTAAGAAAGGATGCAGGAACTGCACCTTGCCTACAGAGGAGAAAATTTTGAGAAGCACATAGTACTTTGTGCAGGAAAAATGTGATATGGGGGTGTGGAGAGCAGCAGGAGCACAGACTTGCCAGTGGGATACTGTCAGTTAAGCAAATGCCTCCTAGCGGTTAATCCCTGGGAACATGGCTTACTCTATAAAGTGCTCAAGATTTTCCTTTAAATATTTGTTTAGCAAGTTTTAGAGCTAATTTCTCGTTGATAGGTTGCCTGGGTCTCAAGGATAAGAACTCGTACAAATGAAGCAACACCATGTTCCTGATTTGGACATGAAGCGGATGCATTGTATTCACCAGCTAGGTTTTTCCCCCCTTCCCACAATAAAGGGGGACTAAATGCATTCTACAAAACTCTGAACCTTAACTGATATATTCAGGAGGAGATGGAGCTGGGAAAAACAAGCCGATGACCTATGTAATCTGCTGTAATCCAATTGGAAGGAAATAGCAATAAATATTACTGGTCACAAGAATAAGGTGTTTGCCCAAAAATACCGGATTGATATTTTCAGTTTTGCCATCTTTGAAAGAAACTTCTGATTTCAAATGTCAAAATCCCTATTGTATAATTCATTTAGGTCCTCTTCTTTCTGGCTCTTGATCCTGCCACCCCTATTTGAGTGTGAGGGCTACTATGCTCTTGTCTGCTGCCTTAGAGCACAGTTTTCAGGACAAATAATGCATCTCAGAATTGACACCAATTTGGTATAAGTTCTTTGAGGACTTTTGTCTAGAATACAAATAATTCTTACCCTGCCAAATCCACGGTGGCTCACAGAATATAAAAAACACAAGTCAGACACAGTAAGTCACCATTTTGCATGCCATGTTTTTCTTGACATCCAGACTCCTTATGTCATCAGCTTTGGAGGCCTGTATTGTAAAAACATTCCTGTAGACCCAAAAGCTGCTCCTCAGTGTACCACACCCACTCCTCCTCCTCCTCCCAGGGACTGATAACAGCTTAACAATAGGACCATATGTTCTTACGCATCTCCCAGGTAGATATTTGGCCAGACTTGGTCCACATGATTATCAGACCCTCCTCTGAACCACAGAAGCCGCTGGAGGTCTGATAGTGCTGGTGTTTCATAGGAATCATTGCTAGTCAGAGATGAAGAGTCTTTGGTGTGAGGCATCTTGCTGCTCTTTTGCATGCACTCAGGCTGTATCAGAGACAGCTTTTCTGAAATGAATTAAGAGGAAATTTTCATACAGATATAACATTCCCTAGAAAGTAGTCCTGTTCATTACCCTCCAAATAGCATTACATTATTATAACTAGTGTGTGCAGCAGGGCCTGCAGGTGTTGCTAAAAACATCCAGAGAGCAGGAGTGACTCTGTGGCAGGACTCTATGGGCATGTAAATCCTCCCCTGAGAAAGCATCATAAGACAATGTGATTTAATTTCTTGTCAAGTACTGATGTTGGAAAAGAACATCCTGCGCCACCCGAATGCAGCACTGGCTGAACCTTGTAGGTGCAGGTGTTATTTCAATTGATGAGGGTATACAGAAAACCATCAGCTCTTTTTGTTGAAGAGTTACCAAGTGTTTGTGCACACTTGATTCTGATTAATTAAAACTGGAAGTTTTTGAAAGAATACATCATTGGGCTAACTTATACTTAAAATGCTTTTAGGGCCAAGGTGGAAGTCTTAGGATGTGTGTGTGAGCGACATTTGTATAATGCATGTGTATACACATATGAAATATATGTGCACACAATTTTCTTTCATTTGTAGGGATGTATTTAAACACACATATACACGAACATATATATGTATGAACGGATTTTCACATGCATATATAAACATAGATATGTCTGTATGTACAGAAGTAAAAATTGAGAGAATTTGAACTAGTTTTTTCTCTCTCTCAGTCGAATACCCCTGAACACTTAGCTATACTGGTATTCTTGTGCCTGTCTCTCTCTGTCTCTCCTCTGGGAGCTGTTCCACTTTGTATAAATAATGTGATAGGTACTTGCCTCCAGAGAGAGGCCATTTCTCTCATCTGAGGGGTGAGGTACTTACCTGGGATGTGAGAAAAGAGAGCACCTGAATTTTTTGAAATTATAGAGCTGAAATTCTGGTGTTGTTGTCCTGTTGAGAATCCCATCTAGGGCTCCCTTCCCTAGATCTGTGAAGGATCCGAGAGATCACAGATCTGTGATGCCTCACAGATCACACCATGGAATTTGGGCATCCCTTTTGCAATGCTGTTTGCTGGTTTAGACCCAGGAAGCTCAGGCCAGCCGGTTCGGCTGAAAGCAGAGCTCAGTCAAGAGCAAGAGTGCGAAGATAACCAAGCAGTCCTTTCTTGAGACTTTAGGAGCATTTCTCCTGCCAGGATCTCATTATCCTGAATTGCTCTTCTTGCCCCCAGAAAATATTGCTGAGCTTTGTTTGGCTGCCTGTCGGTATTAGATCAACGTGAAAGCCACACTAGAACTCTTCCCAAAGTAGAGTAGATGGTGTTTATTCTCATGTGGCATCAGCTTTGCCTAAGTCTAGAGTTTGGGTTTGTTTTCTTAGCAATTCTAGAAAACACGTGCAGATGGGACCTTCAGAAATCATCTAGTCTGTCCCCTGCCCCCACAGCAGCAGCCAGATGGATGTTGTTTCTAAAACAACAACAACTTTGTCCAACATCCAGGTATGTTATTTTCAATGATGTAGGGTGATTTGGGGAATAAGCAGAAAACAAGGGAGAATATCTTTTTGCTTCTGGATAAAGAAGTAGAGATGATGTGAAGCACATTATGGAACACATTACATATATTTCTGTGACCTCAGCCTAAATTTTCTTCCCTTGCCCCTTTCTCCCTCCTCCTCCCCACCAATGTTAAGCACAGTGATAGCTTTTTGTATGTTCCAGTAAAAAAGAAGTCTCCCTAGGGTAACTACTTAATAAGTAAAATATGAAAAGCACAGTAAAAATCATGGGAGAGATAGGAAAAAAAGTGACTGGTTTTACTTTTAATGATGGAGGAAAAGAACTGCAGGGAAGTAAAGAGGAATATAGAGATAAAAGCCTACGAATTTTTCAGGGCAGAAAATGTAACACCAAGAGCTTTGGTAAAGGAAAATGTTGTGCAGTCCTTGCACAGATTAACATAAAGAATAGCACAGAAACAGATATTGTGCATTGCCCTACAAGTTTTACTGCCTTGTGAAAGTCATGCACTGTGCTCAAGAGCTACTGCCAGCATCTTCATGATGACCTGTTTGTACTTTCATCAACACAGAACGTTAAGCTGAAGCAGTAAAAGAAATCAAGAAAAAGATAATACAGCTTCTACATCAGGAGATTCATAAGATCACAGGCTAATTTTCAAGGAGTGTGGCTGACTGAGTCGCTGCAGACGCTTAAGGGCTGAAGTTGTGGAGGTAAGCAGATAGATACCAAACTTTCAGTTTTCCTAGCCCCTGCTGCTTTAAACTTCTGTTGTAGCCTGTCACCTAGTTACAGTAATGGAGATGATGAGCAGAGAGAATTAGATTGTGAGGCCTCTTGTCCAAGACCTGACTTTGAAGAAATTCTCCAAGAATTGAGTTATTTTGGTGCCAGTGACACTTTGGAGGTGACTCCAGCCTTTGCAGCCAGGGAGGTGCTTTGCAACAGAGCTCCCTTTCATACAGCAATCTGCTTTTCAAAAAGCACGTCAACATCATTTTATTCACATGACTAATGCCAAACAAGTGAGCTCCTCGTGTCAACACGAACATAGCTCCTCCCAAGAATGCTCCCTCCTGCACTGCACTGGCCTTGAAATTGAATTGCTCTACAGGGCCTTCAGGGTAAGCTTGGAAATAGCTATAGCAGATGATTGGACTAATGAGGAAAGCAATATGAATTTTTTAATTGAAGGCCAGGGACTTTGCTGAGGGTTTCCTCCCTCCCCCTACTTTAAGATACTGCAGAGCTAGCAAAAGTGCTGCCACTGATTACATTTCTCTAAGCTTCTCCCTCTGGGTGGCTCCCAGAAGCTGTTCCAGTTGGAAACAGCCAGTGACTGCAGGAGGGCAGGAGTCCCTGTACCTGGGGAAAAAAATTTTCTATCTTACAAGGTCACTAACGTTTTCTCCAGAGATCTAGACCATGCAAGTAGGATAGGATTACTTTTCTTTTAAATTGTAGCCTGGAAGCACATAAAGACCATCTCATTAGATTCTTTCTTTCTCTCTTTTTTTTTTTTTTCCTGGTTAAAAAATAAAAAAACAGAAACAAAAAAAAGTCCTTCTACCTATGGGAGACTTTTGAGGCTGGATAGGATTTTTAAGGGCAATAGAGAATCCAAGGCAGCACAAGCTTTAAAACTTTCTTGTCATTATGCAACGGTTCCCAAACACCTGGAGCACTGGGGTGCACCCCACATGCCAGGGCCTGCTTGGTTCCATGTCTGAGCTGTGGAGCCTGGATTTCCCCAGTGGTCCAAGAGCTGCCCTTGAGGCTCAGGCTGAAGGTGGTCGTGGGGTGGCATTGCCTGGCTGCAGGCAGCACTCAGGCAGCACCCAGGAAGGGCTGTGGGTGACTCCAGGCTGTTTGAATGCAGCTGGGTGCAGCTCCTGAGGGACCCAGTCAGGCCAGGACTTGTCCACAACAACCTAGTTAGTATCTCCCCAGTATTGTTTAGCCACTTAAGAACTACAGTCTGCTAAGCTTTTTGTTTGGTTTTGTCTGTTTGTTTGTTTGCTTGCTTGTTTGGGTTTTTTTCTTTCCTTCTCTATGGTGGAAACAATTGCCATTTTCTATTGAAGATTTTTCTGGCAAAGGAAGGAAAAAAACCCCACACAAACCCCCACTGACTGGAATTGGCTAAAGCATTTAACAGATTTGTGTTGCATTTGCAGATTCCAGTGAAAGAAAATTCAGCAAAGTTCAGGAGAAAGAAGCAATATTGTAGATTTGAAATAGTTAATTTCGTTATTTTCAAAAAAATTACCATTTTCATTTTTCTATTCAGAGTTACTTTGTTTTGGAATTTGTTTTGCTGCATTGCATAAAATCTTTTAAAAAATTAAAACAAGATGAAACGGCTTGTTCCTGGTTGAGAAATAAACTAAAATTGAACACAGATTGAGTGGCCACCTATTTGCTTAGCCCTAATTTTCACTTTGTAACAGGGGAAAGCCTCCTGCCATTTTGTCATGGTTGTTACCTTGTCTCTTCGAGAGTGAACTGAGCTGTAGAGAGATGAAACGAATGTCTGGAGTCCCAGGAGGAGTATGGCAGGGCATTAGCTGGACCACAGGCATTCCTCTTTCCCTTTTGCTAGCACCTCCCTAACTGGCACAGCTCTGCCTGTGGTTATGTTCGTAGCCCGGATGGGGACAGGTGTCTTTCAATAACAAGGCCTTACGTGAGATTATTAAGAGCCTAAGGCACAGCAGGGCCTGTGGTTACTACAATAGCATGAACACTACCTAACAATAGCATGATACAGAAAGCTCCTGCAACCAAATATTCTAAATTCCCTAAATCAAAAACCTGACAAACTAAATGATTCAAAATTCCAAAGCATGAGGTCAGAATATAATTCATGTGAAAGGAAAAAAAAAGACAGCCTCTTGATGCATTTGAAATTGCTGTCTACTCTGTTTTTTCTTCTCTCTTCTCTCAGCAAGCATCTCTGCACTCTTCTTTTACACTCCTTGCTCTTTTCTCTCAGGTAGCGCTTTACACTATGGCTCTTTGTCCTCCTGATGGAAAAATCCAGATGGAAAGAAGTGTAGTTCACAAGGAAATGATCATGTAAGTGGAATTAATCTTTCAGATACTGTAATGTGAAATATGATCTTCCTTTTTGTTAAGAAGACCCAGTCTGTGTCTCTACACTTTGGTCAGAATCCGATGCTAAGAGAACCCAGAAGTCTCTTGAGGTAGAGCTGAAAGCTTCTTTGCAGAAACAGGCACATTTAAAAGCAATAGCAAAGTTAAACCAGCCAGATGGGAACCTAGCAGGCAACCGAGAGGGGAACTCTCTGTTTTCCTTGCAAGCCTACAGGGGCTTGTTTGCAGGAATTAGAATCTCTCACCAGCAGTTCACTGCAGCTCTAATACCAAGTGGTATTGAAAATGAGAAGCAGGTTATGGCTGATGGTTTAAATGAGGCACCTATGGGAATTTAGAAATGAGATCCTGGACTTGTCTCAGTGTAGGCCGTGCACATGGCAGAGCAATATTGCTTTCTTGGCTGACTGCGTCATGTATTATGGCCTTTTATTTTGCCCACAGTCAAACAGCAGGGAATAGTAGAAAGTTCATTGCTCCAGCTCACTGTTTAAACTCTGATCTGCCTCACCGGAGGCAGTGCCCCCAAATAATGGAAAGCAGAATCGGTCCCTCAGCCTCATTGTGGGTACATGTTCAATGCAGCACTGAATTAATGCCACTGACATTATTTCAGAGTGAAGAGAAAAGCAGAATGTACAATTAAACCTCTGTTTGGTTCGGTTTTGAAGGGAATTTACTACCTGGGAAAGATGCCAGATCAAGGGCTCTGGAAAACACAGCCCTCTCTTTAACAGCAGTGTTGGGAAAGATCAGGAGCAGCCCTGCAAGCCTCCTCCATGGCTGCCCTCTTGGCTCAGCCCAGCCCAGCTCAGCTTGCAGATGCCCCTTGCCCTACACTTGCAACTGTGTTTTACAGGGTGAGAGAAAATCCAAATCTTCACACCTCTTCACTGCTTGGTCTCCCTCCTGACATCCCCGTTCACATCCGGCCTTGTACTTTTATGATGGGGCCCTCTCAGCGTCTCCAAATGGAGCCAGAAGGTACCAGCTTCTGCTCACAAGGAACCTGAGCTGGGCTGGAAAGCTAAAGGCTCCTTCCTCTGTGAGCCCTCCTGTTCTTGCACAGAGCTGCCCATGGGGCTGGAGGGGCTGTTATGGGGCAGCAGCAGCCTGTTCCTGCCGCACAGGACCTGCGTCCACCCGGGGATGGCAGGAACATAAAAGGCCATCTCAGTGGTGGGAGCAGTCAGAGGGCAGGGCAGGTGAGGGTAATCAGCCCGGAGAGCTCCTGGTGGGGAGGAAGGTCCCAGGTGAAGTGGGAAGACAAGGGGGTACATGGCCAGGCACAGGCAGAGTTGTGAGGTCACATAGGTAGACATGAAGCCTGAGCATCTCAGCTCTCACTCTCACACAGCCCCATCCAGCAGCCCCATCCCAGGTCACACGGCCGCTATTGTCCTTAGACAAGGCAAGCACCCAGGAGGGAAAGAGCTTGCTGAGCTCAGGCTCAGTGGGGGGAACTTCACCTGTGCCCTGCTGGTTTTTGGGGAGAGGGTGTTACTGCTTTCTCATAGAAGTGCTCCTGGAGAACATTTCCTTCCCTTTGTAATATAATGGATCTGCGCATATTTTCCCAAGACTGCCACTCCAAGGGGGGAGAACCTCCATGCTGCCTCCAGCCCCCTGCGCCTCCTCCCCCAACCCTCCCGTTTGAGAGCCACACAGCCTAGGAAGGGGCACTTGCCCACGCATGGGGCTGTAGGAAAGGATCCTTTAAAAATGGAGGCACTGGTTGGAAAAATGGGGAGTCCTGCTTGCAGTGACAGGTCATGGCTGTGGCATGACGACAGCTTTTACATCTGCAGCTTTCAGATTCAAAGGAGATAAAAAAAAGAATTATTACCTTAGCAGCTGGCATCTCTGAGCTATTCAATGCACCATCCCCAGCAAGACAGCGCTGCCCTCCACAGGCTCCTACCACAATTTCCGACTGTCTGTGGATATTTGTCAAGCCTAGGGTGATGCTTTCCCCTTTATTTCTCCTCTGGTGCACTCCTGTCCAGGGTACCACAGCTAGGAATTAAAGCCCTCCAAAACTACTGATTTTCTTGACACGTCTCAACTACAGTCATACTTCTCCCTGAATTAAAACACTGTAGTTTTAAGTCCTGTTGCCAGCAGCCATAACTGTGCTGTATGCTGTAATCAGGGGAGCACACAGTCACCATGCAGCTAACTGCTTCTAATAGTAGAAACTTCACTCTAATCTTATATAACGGCAGTAATGGAGCAGAGAGGCTGTGGCTTGTGAGGAGCTTAGACAGAAAGCTTTCTTGGGCAGCTCGTGCCCTGAGGGCAGAGAAGCTGCAGCTGCAGTGAGAGCAAGAAAAACAAAGTGACCTTGATATTGATAACAGTTCAGTGAGTGCTGTCACAGCCAGTGCTGTGCCAGGATTTCAGTGGTGTCACAGGCTGTCGATAGATGTAAGTTATGGGCAGTTCTGATACAAATGGTGTCAAAGAGACCACACTCAGAGAGGGGGGAAAAAATAAAGTCTTGCAAGCTTCAGGAAAGACAAACAAGGATGTTAATATACTGCTATTAGAAGGGGCTCCAAAGCACTTGCACTTCTGCAGTCAGTATGGATTTGTGTGACTCTGGATTAAAGAAGTTTTTTCCTTCTTCTTGATTTACTCCTCAAATGATTTTTATCTGACTGCTCTTGTCAATACAAAATTGACAATGCTGTCAAGCTTGCAAGATTTCAGAATATTTGAAGGCATGAGAAAGGGGTTTTGATATTCCTCGGTCGTTTGGCAGGGGTAGCTTTGAGCTGTCTGTCTCTCTGCACTTTAAACAAAAGCAGTGAAGTGCTCTCCTTGCTTTGCCTTGCTTGAAAGGGTACATACAAAAAAGGCACCTTTTTCTAAGGTTGACAAAGCTGTACAAAATTTTTGCTGTGGAATCAAGAGCAAAAAAGACTTCAGAACTCTCCAGTGGAAGATCTATTTTGGCACTTGAATTTTTTGGGCACATCATAAAGCTTTCCAGGGACATCCTCTGCTTTGTTGGGGCAGAGTGGAATGGAGTTTTGAGATTTTTTTTTGATTGCTGATTTTAAAATGATTGTTTATTTTTTGATTAAGTCATCTTTTAAGATGAATGACATACATTCCTTGTATGTCACAAAGGAATTGACCGCTGATGAGGTGCACAAGAGCAACTAAAAGGAGATATTAAGATCTAGAACTGGGATTTACTTTTTCTTACCAGCTTTTGATTATGTGCCTGATGAATATTTGCTCCTAATTTCTTATCTTGAATTTGAAGAAATGAGACTGTGAGTGGTTTGCCTGTTGTGCTTCCCTGGTATTGGGGTGCGAGGTAAATCAGAGCGAAGCAGGGAGCTGCCTTGTCAGGGGTGTGGGTAAAGCAGGGTGTGCAGCCACCTCTCCGGGCTGTGATAGATGAGAGGTCAAGGGCAGTGGGAACATGCTGCTGCTCCAGTCCCAGGGTCACTAGGAGAGCTTGTCCTGCCATTTGCTGGCTGGTGGGAAGAAGTTTCTCTGCCAGGCCCTGCTGCGACATCTCTGTGGGAAGCAGGCAGGGTAGGGCTGCCTCACTCCCCAGACACCATGCTGATGTTATGTGAGTCTTGCAGTTGTTCAGGCAGGGCAGGAGTAAGGATTGTTACATGCCAGCAAGTTTTTGGAGGGTCTTTTCACCTTTATCTTGCCAGGTGTTATGCTGTTGTTTTTCTGATGCTGTTTCATACTGAGGCTTGGTGTGGACTATAGATCAAAGCCAAAGTTGGTTCGTTGGTTGATGGAGGGGGGAAAGAGCCTCCAGCAAAGCAGCAGCCTCATGGCTCCCAGGAGGGAGAGTTGAGCACAGGTAGCAGGGTGTAAGGCAGCCTTGCTGGAGGTTGTGCCTGCTGCAGGCAGATTATAAGAGACAGTTTGGGAACACGCTGCAAACGTAACAGTCCATTTTCCCTAAGCAAACCTCAGTGCTTCCAGCACAGCCCTGGGAAGGCTGTCCTCTGCTTGGGAAAGTTGCTGTGAGCAGGAATACATTAAGGACTTTGAGATTCTCAGGTACAGTGGTAATGGGAGCCACCCATGAGCTATAAATAGCACTAACATCGTTTCTCTCCAATGCCTGGCATCCCAAGCAGTCATTTTTGCTGGTGCTAGTGAAAATGAAAAAAGCTTTGAAGAGCTTTTATTTATGTTCTCTTTGCAGGCTGGAATTTTGTGAGTATTTTTCCTACTGGCTCTGAATTTTTCATTTATTTTAAGGGAAAATGTTGGCATTTTTTCCTTTTGGATTTTTTCCTTTTTTTAATTATCATATATAATTTTTATATTTTTAGCTCAACTATGTGGGAAAAGCTATTGTGGTGGGAGAGTGGGGATCAAAAATATTCATTTCCAAATAACCTTAATGTAATTGCAGGAAAAGGGGGGAAAAAACCCAGGAACCAAAATTTAATCTTATATAAATCTTATATGCATTTTTAACAAAATAATGAAAATGTTTTTGTTTAGAATTAAGCAAACAATGCAGGGTGCTTTGGCAGGTTTTGTGGTATTTACATTGAGAGATCAGACAGAAATATTTGTTGTAGTAAAAGGAAAAGTTTTACATGCCTGTCAGACAAGATCTTCCTACGGTTTGATAGGAAACAAAGATGGTTTTGTGAAGGAGCTATGAAGGCCTGAGAGCAAAACCGGCAAAAAGGACCCTCTTCAAAATATTTAGTATACACTTGATGAAGTCTTGTCGTAAAATGATAAGGCCTCATCTGTTATGCAACTCTCCTTTGCTATTACAGACATTCTGGAAACATGTGGTCTACAAAACAGACATTTTGTGCTGAGATAACCAAAGAACCACTGCTACAAGATCAACTGGTAGAGCTGGAAGAATTAGTCAACCTTTTAAATATGCAAGAAGGGCTATATTTTTTTCCAATTATGCCAACTAATCTAATTATACACTGCTTTTACTAACAACCCTTGCCTTAGACCAGCAGGCAATGCTGCTGTTAGTGAAACACTGTGATTTTTCCTATTGCCACAAGATGGCAGGAGAAAGCAATCTTGAATGATTTAAAAATACGCAGCAATGGGCATCTCATGACGCAATCCGCTCCTGACTGGCATTTAAAGGGAACACTTACTAATATACAAGAAATGGCACAGATTGGATTGAAGAAAAACGTAAAATGTACGGAATTAATTAGATTGATATTGACCTGGATGTATACATCAAAAGATCTACACCTTATCCTTTCCCATGCAGGTTTTCTGCATAAGAGAAGCCTGTGACTGTACTCATTTTTTCCCTGTACACCATATAGTTTGGCCTGGTTTTGCTCCACTGGCAAAATCTGTTGTACAAACCAGTCCCAGACATAATGCACTCGCCCAAAATAAAGAGCAGGGTGATTCTTTTCCCAAATATATTTCTCTTCCCATTCCCAGTTCCTTGAGTCATAGCAGGAAAAGCTAGAGGAAAGATCCACTGCTCTGGTGTTTGGGAATAGAAGGATGCGTGAGGGACAGAGGCTGTGCAGGAGAACACACCTGGTGCTGACAGGCTGTTGCACTGAGTGCTGCACTGGCAGTGGGGTCACCTCAGAATCTCTCCTGCCTGTTCTCCAGGGGCAAACTGACCCTTCACTCACATGGGTGTCACAGACAACTGCCTGTCCACTGCCAGGACTGAACCTCTCAGGAGCCAATGGGGCTTTGGAAGAGGGCTGGGATGGAGGAGTCTGCTGTTCATGCTCTCTCCCTGGCTGCTTCAAATACTTTTCTTAAAAGTAAATAAACCCTCTACAAGAATGGAATTGGTTTGGACAGAACAACCAGACTGCCTGGAGGCTTTGAGGCATTCCTGCTCCAGAGGCAGTGCAGTGGTTCCTGTGACTCCTTCACCTTCTCCTTCCTCACAAAGAGGCATTTGCAGTTTGTCCGATGAGGGGATGAACCTCACGGCCACAACAGCTGTGCTGCACCGTGGTAGCGGCCTCCCCAGAGCCTCCTCCAGCACCAGCCTGCTCCCCACCCACCCAGCCTGCTCCTCACTCACCCAGCCTGCTCCTCACCCATGCACCCTTTCTCCTCAGCCAGCCTTCCCCCCTCCTTTTCTTTCTTTCCCCACAGCCCAAGCTAACCTCCCTGGAGCTGCTGGAGGCCAGGTGCTTGTTGGGGCAACTAGGGAGTTTTGTACTAGGACCAGCCCTGCCATCCAGTCAGTAGTAATTAAAAACATCAAGAGGTTTAGGAAGTAGCCAATCTATTGAAAGCCAAAAGCTGGAAGATAAGCAGCTGTCCTGTTTCTTATGCTGTCTTTCCCTAGGCTCTGCTCTGGGCTGATGGAGACAATAACTATCCAGACCTTCAGGTCCAACCTGCCTTGGTACCTTTTCCACCTGTCTTATGAATGCAGTGTGCACAGTACACATTACTAAATACTGCATTCTATAACATGGGTACCAAACATACAGAATCTGTCCCCCAGGCTGGGAATACATTTGTCACTGTGAACCAATTGCCATTTCACAGTGGCACCATGGAGGAGGATGACAAGGAATCAAGAGTTAAGGAGCAAAAGAAAAATGTTTGAAGCAAGTTTCAACAGTTATGATGATAAGGAAAAAGAATTGATGATATGGATGCCCATCACCTGGGAAGGAACACCCTTGCCCCATGAGACGATGCGAACACAGACCCCAGTGCCCTCACACCTTTCCCTTCCAGATTCTGATCCTACTTGTCTTTTTAAGGTATTCTTTCTTGTATTGCTTCTTTTGGTAAAATGACTTTGGTCCCAGCTTGGTTCTGCAGCTAGTAGCAGAATCAGTTTCATTTTGTGAGGAAAGAAAATGATGGAAGCTCTGCAGCTGCTGGCAACACCACAAGAACACTGTCAGCATCCAGGAACTTTCTTTTGCCCTTTGGCTGCCCACCTCAGAGTTATAGGATCGCACTTGCTATTCAGAAGTAGATTAAGCCTTCCTGGAAATTAATAGGTTTAACTGAGCACAAATGACTTTGAATCTGCCTTGTCCAGCACATCCCACAACCTGGGTCCTTTTGCCAGCCTTCCAGCCACTGATCGCCTAGGTCAAAGCAGCTCC